TTAACAGTTTCAAGGAAAAAAAATAGATCTTGTCCAAGTGCACCACTGCTACAGTATTGATTAAAGTAGCCACATCTGTCTCCTCTCAAGTTTCCTCTCAAGTTTGAAAAGACATGCAGCTGTTTTAAATGGTGTTTTAACAATTCAGCTTTTTAAAACAACTGCATCTTCTTTCAGGTTTATGCATAAACCTGAAAAATTGCAGCTGCTTTCATCAAAAGCAGAGAAGTGCTCATTTTCAGAGTCCAAGAAACTTCTTCCAAATCATTTAAGAAGCATGCACAACCTCATAACTTGGGATGAAAAGGGAACCAGTTTCAATCAGTCTAAGAAAACAGTTTTCTGCATCCAACTGCCCAGAAAGTAGTTATGGAGAGAAGAATCTTGCATTGTGTTTAGTTTTGGAAGCCCTGGTCCCATTTCACACTCCAGTAGACACCAAACAGGCAATGCAGGATTTCTCCCCCATTTCCTCTCCTCTGTCTCTCACAAACACACATGCACAAACACATACAGAAAGAGAAAGATGTTCTAGAACATTGTGAAAAGAATCTTGCTATGTTATTTAAGTAAGTATGGAATCACAGATATAGCTATCAGGTAACTTACTAAGTCCCTTCATGGATTACTGCCTTGTTGTGGCGAAGGGACTTACGTAGCTCAATGAAGCTATGAGCCATGCTGTGCAGGACCACCCAAGACCAACAGGTCCATAGCAGAGAGCTCTGACAAAATGTAATCCACTGGAGAAGCAAATGGCAACCCACTCCAGTATCTTTGCCATAAAAACCCAATGGACAGTACCAAAAGGCAGAAAGATATGACGCTGGAAGATGAGCCCCTCAGGTCAGGAGGTGTCCAATATGCTACTGGGGAAGAGCAGAGGGCTAGCACTAGTGACTCCAGAAAGAGTGAAGCGGCTGGGCCAAAGCCAAAAGGGCACTCAGCTGTGGATGCATCTGGTAGTGAAAGGAAAGTCCGATGCTGTAAAGATCTATATTCCTTAGGAACCTGGAATGTAAGATCCATGATCAAGGCAAGCTGGACATGGTCAAACAAGAGATGACAAGACTGAACATCGACATCTTAGGAATCAGCTAACTAAAATGGACAAGAATGGGTAATTTAATTCAGATGACCATCAGGTATGCTACTGTGGACAAGAATCCCTCAGAAGAAATGGAGTACCCTTCATAGTCAATAAAAGAGTAAGAAAGGCTATACTGGGAAACAATCCCCAAAATGACAGAATGATCTCAGTTCGAATCCCAAGGCAAACCATTCAACATCACAGCAGTCTAGGTCCAGGATGGCGAACCTATGGCACGTGTGCCACAGGTAGCACACAGCCATTTGTCAGGGCACGCAAGGTGCTGCGCTGTTAGCTGGCCAGCGTGCATGCGTGCTCTGGCCAGCTGAGTTCACCCTTTTTTAAAGCCATTTTTCACCCTCCCCAGGCTCCAGAGGCTTTATTGGAGCCTGGGGAGGGCGAAAAGAGCCCCCTGCCTCCCCGGAGACCTTTCAAAGGCTTAGGAGCTTCCCTGAAGCCTCCAGAGCGCAAAAAAACCCCGGCACTATGGGCAAACCGGAAGTTTGGGAATGGACTTCCGGTTTGCTCGGAGGGTCATTTTAAGTGCACCAGAGGCTTTAGGGAAGCCTTCTGAAGGTCCCTGAAGCCTCCGGAGGGCCTCCGGGGAAGCAGGGGAGGCTGTTTTTGCCCTCCCCAGGCTCCTATAAAGCCTCTGGAGCCTGGGGAGGGCAAAAACAGCCTCCCC